AAAAAAGTAAATCAGAGCTAAAAAAGTGCAAAAACGCAGGCAAATTTGTCTGTGTTGGTCTACATATTAAGGGATAGCAAAAAGTTTAGAATATATATATATAATATTAACAATATATTTTATATACAGTAAATAACAAGTTCTTTTAATGCCTTGATTAACCTCTAACAAATCATTTGAATATACTATTTGTAAAAAAAAAATGGTACAAATCTTCAGCAGGACTTTCAAGACATGAAAATGCTAAGCATAATGACTACAATATATCTTCTATTTAACAGTATATTCTGCCAGAAAATGCTATTAATAAATGGAAGAAAATGCTAGTACATGCTATTCATAAACAACTTTCTCTTGCTTTTCGAAAAACTAGAAAACAAGTAATTAAATTTCTATGTATGGAGGGTCAATATTTAGGACTCTTTAAACAGCATTTAACTCAGGTGTTTATTAACAAAAAGCATATAGATGTGTTTTAGTTCAATATTAGATGATCACTGTTGGGGTGTACAGCATTATAAATATAACCAGGTTTCTTATGTTGTACTGCTTATTCAAACAACTGCTGAAAATTCAGTTCCAGCTTTAGATGCTATATTTGCAAAAAAAGCAGTTAAAAAAAAAAAACACAAGGTAATATTGATAAAGGAGAGTTTTCTATTATAATAGAAAAAGATAAAATATTGCAGCCAGAATTTATAGTTGACTGAGTTCAAGAAATATTTAAAGATTTTAGTGAGCATCAGGTTACCTCCGGGTATATTAAAATACAATTCAATATGGAAAAAAGCTTATTTACTAGTCCCAATACAAATCCGTATAATTAATAAAAATAAATATATTAGAATAGAACAACTGGCGAGTTAATTTCAAATATATAAAAAGTTTTAAAGTTTAATATTAATATCTTTTTTGATACTACTTTCATAGATAAATATAAGTTTAAACTTATATAATACGACTTACCTGAGTTATGGCAATCAAATGATCGATTAGATAATAAGAAATCGACCAATCTTTTTTTCTTTTGCTTGGTCAATTTTGTAAGATCGTATAAATATTGAAAATTAGTGCATATAGGTAAATTTAAAATTCTTTTAACCAAGCTAAGTTACTAATATTAAAAAAACAATACTAACTTTGAATTTTTTTGAACCTTTTTATAGGACAAGGTGAGAGATCTTTTCACACAAAAATTTTTTTCACAAGTAAATTCAAGTCACTATTATAACTTCAAACTGTTACCTCTTTGTTCACAGTACTCTTCTGTTAAACCAAAAAGCCTCATAGAAAAAAAAAGTAAGCTTGGTTGTTCTTAATTATAGAAATTATAAAAATTTGATATCGAAATAGTATACTTGGCAATTTAATTTTGTTTACGAAAATATGTGTTTACAAAATCAAATTTTTTAGTTTGGAGCAGTGCATATTATTAACTCTATTCTAACTTTTATTAACTCTTAAATTTTTATTACAGGATTTATACAATTCGTAACAAGATGAAAAAAACTATTACAGGCAAAAAAAGAAAACAGGTAGTTTTTAATTAATTCTTCAAAAAAAGCAATTGTTTTAGGGAAAGCAAAAATGATATTAATTTATTTATTTGTTTATACACAAGAATATATATTCAAGAGGTTAATTTTTACTAAATAGATATGCAACTCTTACTGTAAATTTACAAGTATTAATTAGCTCAATTCATTCTATATAGATTGGTAGGATCTTGCTATTGTAGTATCCGATTATTATTTTGATTCTGAAGATTATGAAAATCTTTCGAAAAGTGTCTTGTTCTTTCTTTTAAAGCTTGACAATTTAAATACAGATTAAGAAAAAATTGGGGTTGGGTTATTAGATGAGAAATTGCTTAAAATTCTGACTCTAATTCTAATTTAGCACAATGGTTAGATACAAATTTTTTACTTTTAAAAAACTATACTCAAAAGTTATATATTTTATATTCAATTTTTTTAATTGTTAAAATGATATGCGATTATTTTGTGTAACAATTATAAATATATAATAAAAATGTTAACGATACTATGTAAAAGAACTTTTGGCTATATTGATTACTTGCTGATTCAAGACACATTACTGCCATATTTGAATTTTGTTGTTTGGTAGATTTGTATAGAGATTATATATGTTTTGGTATTCACAGAAACCAAATATCATTTCCCTAAATAATTGAAATTGTCAAATATTAAAATCTAATTTATTAACTAATATATATCATTTTAAACCTTTCATTAGCTTATTGCTTCAATCCTCCTGGTTGCTTGTAATATTACCAAGCGTTTATAATAATGATTCGCGTTTTGAGGAACATAGTAAGGTCGTAAAAGGTGAAATTTCGGCTGTGGAAACAGTATATATATGTATCTTGATTACGCTTTTAATGTTATGATCATAGTTAGATGAATATCGTAAAATAGCAATTATGGATTGAGCTTATTAATTCACAAAGCAACATAAACTTGAGCATATTTTCTTTGAGCTCATGACTTGTCTCAACCTTTGTTTTAAATTTTCAAAGATGAGATTAAGGTTGTTCATAATTATACTCTAACTCATCCTGAATTCTATAAAACTTTAAT